ATATTGGTTACACAAAGTTGATCTACAATCTATTTTATATGAATTTGGAAATAGTTACACCCTACCCTTAAATAAAAAATGTTTTATATATTTCAAATATTATAATAAATATAAAATCTCAAAATTGAAAAAATTTTGATTTGTCCCTTTTCTACTGACCCCTCTTTATATAATGTTTTGTTATTTTAAAAATTGTTGTTTTGATCAAATCTGATTGGCATCGATCAGTGAAAATCTGTTAGTGCTACTGGGGTAGTTGCTTAGGGACAGTGCAGTCATGTGATATTAGAAAAATAAAAATTTTAAATATTTAAATCAAAATATCTTGGCACTACCTGACCCAATCTGATAACTTTTTTTTTAATTGAATTAAATATACTCATAGAATTCAAATAAAAAAAAAATCATCGAATTTGATCAGGTAGTTATAGAGATATCTTTGTACAAAGGTAGAAAAAAATCATCAAAATAGAAACTACATCAATTTTTTAAAAGATTTAAGTGAAGATATCTCCACAACTATCTAACCAAATTTGATAAAATTTTTTTTATTTGAATCTATGGATTCATATAATTCAAATAAAAAAAATTTATCGAACTTGAGTAGGTAGTTATAGAGGTATCTTCGAGAAAAAAATTAAAATGCCTATCAAAATAGAAACTACATCAATTTTTTTAAAATATTTGAGTAAAGATATCTCCACAGCTGTCTAACCAAATTCGACAATTTTTTTTTATTTAAGTTCTATGAATCCATATAATTCAAATGAAAAAATTTTTATCAAATTTGGTTAGATAGTTGTGGAGATATCTTCGCTCAATGTTTTTAAAATAGCTTCTATTTTGATAGAAGTTTTGATTTCTCTCTAACTTTGAGCGAAGATATCTCCATATCAACCTAACCAAATTCGATGAATTTTTGTTTATTTGTATTCTATAAATTTATAGAATTCAATAAAATTTTTTTGGCTGAATTTGGTCAGGTTGTACCAAGATATTTTGGAAAATTTTGATTTTCTAATATCACATGACTGCACTGTCCCTAAGCACTGTCCGTAGACTTTTCGATCTAGGGAAGATAACTAATAACAGGGAGTCACGTGAGTACGGGGACGCGAAAACCGTGCAGTGGTTTGTTAAAGTTGTAAGTATGTATTTTAGCGAGAATTGACGATCCTTAAAAACAATATTATATATTTTTTACAAATTTTGAGCGAATATATCTCAGTAACTACATATCTAAAATATCTAAACCTTTGAAAATTTTTTATTTTGATTTTAGAATTAAAATAAAAAAATTTCCATCGATTTTTGATATGTATTTACTGAGCTCAAAGTTTGGAAAGAGCGCCATAATCTTTATTTTGATAATCCTTTCGTCTAAACTTTTTTTTTTGAAGGATGTCTCGATAACTACCTATCTAAAATCGTTAAATTTTTTTTATATTGATTCTATTCGTCGAGTAGAATCTCACATGCCCGACACTTTTTTTTTCGCCTGGACTATATGCATATTTTCGTGTGACGTTACTTCAACATTCGTGTAACGTATATCATTTCTTAATTTAGGACAATCTCTCCTAAACGCGAAAAATGATTTAATGTGCGCGAACATTAAATTTCGTAAGGACGCGCTGATAGAGTTCAGAAACTTAATTAAAATGTCGAAACGTAAAGATGTTCACGACGACAGCAGTCAAGATAGCAAAAAACAAAAGACTACTTCTAAACAAGCTTTTCTTACGTCTTGGATTAAGCAGCCTTCTCAGCCCTCTTCTGAAGATGTAGTAACTAAAGTCACTGGAAAAATGAATGATGAAATGAAAAAGCTGTTACAAATAGAGCTTGAAACTATGGATAACGAGTGGTTGAAAGTATTGATTAATGAATTACAAAAACCATATTTTGCTGAGGTTTGCAAAGAATATCTTATTTAATATATGTAACGTATTAAAGAGTACTAAAACACGTTTCATTTGTAGTTGAAAAGATTTCTTGCTACCGAAAAGTCGAATAATAAGAAATTATTTCCTCCTGGTTTGATATTACTTTTTTAATTTTTATTATTGTTTAAAGATTTCCAATTTGCTTATTATAGAATATTATAGACCCTCAAATTTACAGTTGGTCAAGGTATACACCTCCCTCCACTGTCAAGGTTGTGATCTTAGGACAAGGTGTTTTTTTATATATTTCTATATTAAATGTTAAAAAAAGATATTCGCATATTAACTAGTATCGTTTGTAAGATCCATATCATAACGATAGGCAAGCCCATGGTTTATGTTTCAGCGTTCCACAAAATGTTCCACCACCACCGTCTCTTCTTAATATATATAAAGGCTTGAAGAATGATATCTCAACATTTCAAATACCAAAACATGGGTTAGTAACGAGTTAGACATAGCATTCTATGGTTTTAGCTTATCATTCATTCATTAATAGGTGTCTTGTCAATTGGGCTAAATCCGGAGTTCTACTTTTGAACACGTCACTTACGGTACGCGCACATGAGCCGGCAAGCCATAGTGGTAAAGGTTGGGAAAAATTTACCGGTATGTCTGTATCATTGCTCTTTATTTGGACAATCATTAAAGACAGCTAAACTTATCTATTTCAAAATAGATGCCGTAATTCAATATCTAAATGAAAAAAAATCCGGTTTAGTATTTATGCTTTGGGGTAGTCACGCGATTAAAAAGGGTAAAGCTATTAATAAGGTATATATATTATTTTGTAGACTGGTTCCTCATTTTAAACAAATTTTCAATTACAAATAAATCTATTCACTTTTAGACAAAGCATCTCGTTCTGGAGGCTGCACATCCTTCACCATTATCTGTACATTATGGCTTTCTCGATTGCCATCATTGGTCAAAGGCCAATAAATATTTGAGGGATCATGGTAAAGAAGAAATAGAATGGAGTTGTTTGGCGGAAAATAAGGACGTATCCACTCCACGTAATAGTAATCCTGACCAATAATGAAAAAATCGACTAAAAATAATTTTCTGCTTAGCCGGTCGATTTTTTTTTTTTTCAAATCAATCGATTTCTTATAACGATAATTCATGCATAAAGCTTTTGATCATTACAAATATATTGAGTCATATTTTCTCGTGTAATATCAAATATACTTTATATCATTAGAGATATGGTATGTAGGCGGTATACTCAAACAATGGATTCATTTAGATCACTGATAAGTGGTATAACAGCATTAAATTTTTCAATTAGCGTTATAAAAATAAACCGTAATGCTGTTATTGACAGAAATCTGAAATTTTTACTAGACTTTTAAATTTGTCTAATATTTTAATAAAAAGAAGTGTTTTATTTGTAATAGGTTTACTGACATTTACCCGGCAACCACTTCCTTGACAACTATTTACCCGACACAACCATTTTTCAGACAACCATTTCTCCATGATGATTGTTGGGAAATGTAAATTAAATTAATTTTATAGTACAGTATTAATTTTATTTATAAGATTAGTTAGATAGTTTTTGTAAAATTTAAAATATAGAAAATTATAAAAATTATATATGGGGGTGAGTCAATAGAAAAGGAACAAATTTTTTCTAAGTAAAAGTTTTCTTGACTTTAAGCTTAAATACCTTGGCAATTATCTTATCAAATTTAATAAAAACTTT